GCTTTTGGCTGCCCGTGTTTTGCCCCACTGCACTTTGGCTCAGCGTCGCGTTAGTTCAGGTCTTTCCTATTTAGCAAAGTCCCAGTGCTGCCCCCCAGAGTTTTATTGATCAATTATTTTTTTTCTTAATTACCTCATTCCACAAATACTTATTGAGCCCTGACAGCGTGGGCCAGCCATTGGACTAGGCATGGAGAATAAAGGAGATGAAAACTGCTGGGCGTTGATTATGTTACTCCATGAACCCAGGTGCGTTTTTACGAGGACTTTATTATCTCGAGGTTTTAAGAGACGTTGTTTCACTCGAATGAGCAAGAGGACAATGCTTTCATTTGGAGAAGACGGTTTTGTTTTTCTCAGATTTTATCATCAGGTGACTTTTTTTCCTGCAGTTTGGAAAATCTGTAAACACCAAACATTTACTGTCATCTCCACTAGGGGACAGTGTGTCACCACTAGATTTTTTTTTTTCTTCTGAATCAACAAAATGTATACACATTTTTGATTTGCTATCAATTATCTTATAAATGTAACAAACTGTTAAAATGTTTATAAAATCTACAACTTAGGATGTTTGTAATTGTATAGTGTATGGGTAGATAGATATAGAGATTTGTAGATATAGATGTGTATATAGATACAGATAGCACAGTTTTATTTGTTTAGAGTGTTTGAAATTTTGTGACATTTAGGTAATTTTTGTATGAGTTCACCAAAACAAGGATGGATGGAAGAAGTATATTTATATCAAAATATAAGCATCTGAATTTCAGGACAGCTTTGTAGCTCATGGAAATTGAATTAGGCTTTAGGCATGGAATTTGTTGAGGCATCGTAATGTTTACCCTTCAAAAAGGGCTGTGTAATCTCCTGAGACATTTTAAGCCTAAGTATATATACATATATTTTAACTTTATAGTTTTCCTTTTAACAGAGTTCATTGTGTTCTTAGGAATGATATGTGTGGAAGATGAATTTCTCTAAAAGGTTTCCTTTCGGGTTGTTTATAAAGATTTGAACAACAATGACATCACAACTTTTCCTGCTATTCTTTGAGACAGGATTCTACAAAATATGACGTGGTATTTGGAACACACAAAGGAATGTATGTGTATATACTCATACATACATATGTGTGAATAATGATAAAATGACCACCTATAAGGCTCCTCCACTCCCCATCCTTGTCGAGAATTAAATACACTCTTGGATATCTGTTGGCATCTAGAAATGCCTTTTAAAGACCCATTTGAGTTAGCATTTTTTTGTACCTGTGTTATCAATACTTTTGTAGAGATGCGGAATTGTGAGATGAGTTTGAAATCTATAAATAATTGGACTATCTGCTCTTTGTGCGCACTAGAATTTTGTGTATATCTCACTATTTTGTTTAATTAGTTTTATATTTCTGTATTTTTCAAGGATAAAATGAACAATGGAGCTGAGACAGAGAGAGAAAACACATATTCGGTGGAATAACATAGGTTCGTTTCACTGAATCTGAATCTCTCCAAATGATGACTATAAAATATGCACAAGTAAATGAATCCTTAAGAGAACATTCTTACTTAAATTCTTTATTAGCTAAAGATACATAAGTTATTGAGCCATCACAGTGAGGACAGAAATGTATTAGAAGATGTGGAAATGTGTTTTTTCTAGCCCTAGCATCTTAAATAGATTTTTTTTCCCTCTCCTTCATTTGTTACTGTTCTGCTTTCATTTTGACAAGTACAAACTGATTTCAAAGAGGCTATGCAGATAGGCTTTTTGTGTTTATTTTTGAAGGGGAAATTTTAATTATCATCATCTGTTGTATGTCTTAATTTAATAAAAGAGACGTGGGAGTAGATGTGTATTATAAACCCTACAACACTGTAATTAATTAATCATGAAGAGTGACAAATACATACCTATAGTTGGTTTGTATTTTGTTCAGTTTGGGAATATTTACTTCTTTATTAATAATGGGGCATGTAAGCGCATCACATTTTAAGCTCAAACATATTTGGCTTTAGAATTATTTGTTTTCATGTGATTTAGGTTTGTGATATTCAGAAATCAGTACAGCATTTGAAATATTGAAATGCCATTAAAACCCACATGTGAGAAGCCAAAGTAACCACCATTCGGCCCCTTGTGTATCTTCCCCAGCTTCACCTTTTAGAACCCGACCCAGGAAATGGATGAAAAAAGAGTAGCTTCACAGAGGTGATCTCTCACCACCATCCTTGAGGATGAGAAACCCAGGGCCAGGCCAGGGAGGCTGGTGTCAGTGGTGAAGTAGAGAGACTATTCTCTTTTGCATGACTGCTGAGGCTTCTGGCTATACATGCAAATAGGGGTAAACAAAGTAACCAAATAGCAGTCATTGTTAACAAATGACTTAAACTGAGAGGGTGATGATGTCTCTATCACGGAGCCTCTTTAGCTTTGAATTTGTTATAATTTATGGAGTGTTACCATGTGTTAGGCATTGAGCTAAGTGTTTCATATTCAAAGATAAAATGAAAAATTCTTTACATCAAGAAAGATCATGTGATGGAATAAATGGTCAACTAAAAGGACTCGAGTTCAGGGTCCTAGAGGAGTTCCCAGCTGTGGGAACAGATCACCTCCCCCAGGCAGGGCTGGGGAACAGCAGACAGGAGAGATTTCAGGAGTCCGTGCTATCTGGAGGGAACTGCAGAGAATAACCAGGGTCAGCTAAACTGGGAAGGGAGTGGGCAGGCTTTTCTGACAAGGGGACTGGCTGCTGCAAATGTGTGAGGCTTAGGAAAGCGGCTTGCTCGGGCAGTCTTAACCAGTTCTGGGTGGCCTGGAGACTGGAGTGGTTTTAAAGCAGAGGCTGGAAAGATGAGACCCTTTCTTGGCTTTGCCCAGGTAAGGGTTCAGACTTGATCCTGAAGTTTAAAGGCAGCCTTCAGAGGATTTTAGGCAGGATAGTGATGAGATCAGATCTCTATTTTAAAGTAAGTATTTTGACTGCTGTGTGGGAAACAGGGTAGAACAGTGTAAGGCTTTAGAGACTGTTAATGATACTGTTCGGTAATTGAGGACAGAGGTATTATGCTGGCCGTGGCAGTTGGAGTGGGGTATGTGAATTCAAGAAACCTGAAGGGCTTGGAAGCAGTAGGTCCTAGAGACACATTGAACATTGGGATAAGGCATTAAGGGTGATGCCAAGTTTAGAGACTGGTTACCAGACCCCACCTTTTGAACACAGCACAATTCTGCGCACAGAGACCTTAGAGATACTGGCTCTGTTTCCACTTTCCCTCTCCCTTCACAATACCATTTCTTCACAGCTTCAAGAAGCCTCAATGATTAGAATAAACATTCTAATAGCCAAATGATTTCAAAGGTAAAACCACATTTTAGCAACTTGTGAGATAACTCATTTCACAAATTTGCCTGATCCTTACTTCACAAGCAACCAGGTCTCCTCCCCGCCCCCAACGCCAGTACTCACCGTTTATGACAGTCTGTTGTTGGGGGACACTCAGAAACAAGATGAAGAAAAGGGGTGCATCATCAATGAAACAGTCACACTTCAGTGAAGAGCCAAAGCTGGTCAGCTATTGGGTTAAAAGAAAGTAATCTTTTGTTTCATTGCATTAGCAATTGAAATTGCCTCAGTGTTTTTCATGCTGTCTTCAGCAAAAGCATTTTTCCTTTATCTGGGAGAACAACTTCGTGCCTGTGGCTATGGTCTGGGTTCCACAGAATGCGGAGGCAGGAGAGTAGCAGACCTTGAAAAGTGGCTCTTTGAACTCACAGAAGCAGAGTAGAATGGTCTTTGTTAGGGACTGAGGGGGGAAGGAAATGGGGAGATGTTGGTCAAAGGGTACAAACTTCCAGTTACAAGGTGAGTAAGTTCTGGGAATTGTACAGCATGGTAATTATAGTTAACAATATTGTATTGTATACTTGAAAGTTGCTAAGAGAGTAGAGCTTAAATATTTTCATGCACCCACCTCCACCAAATGGTAAATCTGTGAAGTGATTGATCTGATAACTATTCCCTTAATCATTATATATGTAATATATAATATGTAATATATATGTTATAAATAAATAAATAAATAACCAGCCATTGTTAATATAAACAAGAATAGTTTGCGCAACATCAATGTAACCTGGAGGCCAACGAGAGTGGATGGAATGCGCATGTGAACAATGATGACTTCACTGTACTAGTCAGTGGGGGTGGAAGATGCCACCGAGTGAGCATGAGTACTGTGTAGCCATCCCATTAAAAATGACTGAGCAAGTAGAGCAGTGAATCTGCATCAAATTTTGCATTACGCTTGAACGTTCCTATGCAGAAACTATTTGGATGATTCAGAAGGCTTTTGGGGACCATGCAATGAGTGCAGTGCAAATAAAAGTGTGGCACAAATGCTTCAAAGATGGTTGAAAATCTGTTGAAAGTGATCCACGTTCTTGAAGGCCTGGAACAAGCAGAACACCTGAGAGTGCTGAACGTGAACAGCTGTGCTCAACAAAGATCGGGACTGACAGTGCGAGAACAGCTGATCTGGGGATTCCAAAAACTACTGTGTCTGAGATTGTGATGCAGGATCTTGGCATGAAATGTGTCGAGGCAAAATTTGTCCCATGGCTTCTGCTACCAGAGCAAAAGGAACATTGTGCTGCAGCTGGGAGAATGGTGTGAGGTCCCAAGGGGCCTACTTTGAAAGGGACTGAGGCGTCATTGTCCTATGTACAATGTTTCTTGTATCTTGTATCTTCTTCAATAAATGTCTTCAAAAAATGTCTAATTTTTTATATATTACATTGCTAGATACTTTCCAGAAAGACTATATGTAATTGCATTGCACTCCTTAAACTTACACAATATTATGTGTCAATTATATCTCTATTAAGCTGGGGGAAAACATTTAAATAAGTATGTTTTTTAAAAAGTAACTATTAAATTTAGTGTGTGACATCTTTTCTTTCTAAACTATCATTTTATCCTTTTTTCTTTTTTTCAGGATCAGCAGAAGCTACAGGACAGTTTAAGGCAAGGTGCCACTATTATTACCACCTTCATCAAAGAAAGAAATTCTGGATTTATTGGTCAGCTTCTGGTAGCATGATGAACACAGAGAAAATTACCTACTGAGTTTATAGAAACAGCTGTCTGAGTACTGTATCTCTTTTGTGCCTCACTCCCTATTGTATGTGGTAGAATGTTTAAGTTGTCTTCTATGTTTCACAGTTTGCAGAATATGATGCTTTGGTTATAAGAGCAGATCGATGTTTATATCTGTGAAATTAAAATTTACTTTTTGTGAATGTCAAATATAAATTCCTGAACCAGAAAAGAGTAGTTAAGTGGAAAATAATAGCTCTCACATAATCTTTTCACAAAAGCATGAAAGATCAAATAGAAATAATGACAGGTAAGCTAATCCTCCAAGGAATGAGAATTTAGAAATCTTGAACTATTATCTCTGTGTTAATTAGTAAATCACACTACGATGAAATTAATAGATAAGATTCAGGACTATTCTTAATTCTAAAATTGTCCTCTCACCATGAGATACTGACTTGTGTCCTGATTTTCCATGTCTTAAACTAAACAAAACAAAACATAACAGGAGATAGAAGGGAATTCTGGTTCAAAGATCTTCATTATTGGTCCTCACATTACTCAAGATCCCTAAACAAGCTGTAATATACTTCTTGATTTAATGTAATTTTTACTCATTTTAAAAGGTTTCTGATTTTTCTGAATGAATTTAAAAGAAGCCTGGGAAACTTCATAAAAGCAAAGTTCTTTTGATCAACCTCAAGTTAGTTTTTTCAAAGGCAGGGAGTCATTGTGCATCCAAGAACGCAATTATTCCTTTGATACAGATACTTGTTTTGTAAAACAAGTTTTTATTCCTTCAAATTTCCACGGGTATATACATCTTAAATATTAATGATTTCCCCTATCTTAATTGTATTGTATGATTATGTACATCCAGTCATTAGAGATACCTTTTATTCCATATTTACATTTACTTTCTCAAATCTTATTAGATCATATTATTCCAGGGTTTTGGCTGCACATGGAAACTATAAAAGTTGCATGAAATGTTTTCTATGACATATAAACCTTGTGGAATTTCTTAACATGTTGGATGATTTTTCCTATATTTCTCCAGTATATCTATTAGCAGGGGAGTTTATATTTTATGTCTAAGTGGTAGTGAGTAGAAAACAATGGACATGGAGTAAATATTACAATTCATTCCCCTTAATGAAATGTGTTTTTTTCCAATGTAATTTGTATCTAAGTTCCTGGGCTTGCCACTTTCTTTCTCTCTCTAGGGATGTTAAGAAATATAAAATAAATCATTTAATTCAAATCCTCAGGGTGAGTCTATATGGGAAATGCTTGAATTTTGGAGAGAAGGTCTATGTTGTTTAGGTGGTGGGTCAGCTGTGTTGTGAAAGGCTCATTCATACCTTCTACTTGTTGAAGTCTTCAGGTGAAAATGTTTTAAGAATTTAAAATTGCTTATAAAGGCAAATGGGGAAATGTTATCAAGACTTTAAAGAGAGGGAGAATGTCTTTAAGTTCAAGGCAGGAAACTGGGTATATCCATGGCACAAGAAAACTGCTATATTGACTGAGTGCTGGCTGAATACCTTAGATTCAGCCTAATAGTGGAATGTTATACCAGACAAGAATTTATCTGGGAGTAATCAGTATGACTTTACCCTAGGCAATTGGAAACATTTAGTGTAATGAGGTTTAGCTAATAAAATATTAAATTGTGTCTAAACTAATCACTACCATCATCATCGCCATCATCATAAAATTTTATTTTATATTTTTCTTTATAGTTTACAAGTGATTCACAACATTGGAAACAATTTAATGAAATCCCCCCGTATCTTTTACGGTTTAGATAGGAAGTGATGCTCAAGAGTCTTAACTACCTTGCCCAAAGCCATGTGGCTGCCTAGTAACAAAAGCCAGGGCTTGCAGTCCAGACCACTGTGTAGCTGTGACTGCTGACAAAGGACACCTGGTAGAGAGGCGTGGGAAGCCAGCCGGCAGCTTAGTGTCAGCTGGAGGAACGGGCAAAAGGGGAAGATCCACCCGATGATCAGGGGAAAGTCCTGAAGCTTTGGTTTTTGTTTCTAATTTTTTATTTTTGACCTTAGAGAAGAAGGGAGGGAGAAAGAAAGGGAGAGAAAAATCAGTGTGAGAGAGAAGCATTGATTGGTTGCTTTACGTATGTGCTTTGACCAGGGACCGAACCTGCAACCCAGACAAGTGCCCTGACCAGAATCCAGTGGGGGACCTTTCGGTTTGTGGGATGGCCCCCAACCAACTGAGCCTCGCCAGCTGGAGCAGTCCTGAAGCTTTTGACTTTCTAGACATCTTTCCAGGATACAAAAATTGTAGCTAAGGTGGAATGAGTGGAGAGAATTATTGACCAGGAGAGAAAGATAAATTGGCTGTTTCTATTGATTAAGAGATCCAGAAGCTTACTTTCAGGAGAACTGTCTATTTTCAGTTTATTTGCCAAAAGCTTTTAAAAAATAATAGTAATTATTCCTGAGGTTGCTGAAATTGCTTTCTACTTGTGGACAATTTTGTAAAAAGACACTTTTTCCTAAACGTATGCTAGTTAATTAAATGCAATTTAAAGATAGCATTTGTAGGAATTTAACAGTGTGATCAACTCAATGGTTTAATTAATGTTGGTAGGAGGTGGTAGTTTTTTTTTCGTTAAAGTGCTCAATTTGAGAGAGAACTTGTTGCATGTATACTCCTTTACAGATGAAATTCAGACCCATATATTCTACCCAGAGCCATTCTTACTGTGGTCAATTTAAGCATTTTGCATTAGTTTAACAAGAAAATGTTCTTTTCCCATGCTACTTTATTATAATTATAATCACATTTTCCTTTGTATATATTAATACAATGATTATTTTATAAAAATCAAGTTGCAGTGGAATATTTTCTTGTATGGAATCTGCAAATTTTACCTCCTTTTAATGTTTAAACTAATCATGTCAAGGAAGCAAAAATCATAATATTTTAATAAAAATATAAAGAAAGCCATTTGGGGAAGAAAAATTAAAGTTATTTTAAAAGTTTAATAAAAAAATGAACAGAATAAATGAAAAATGCATATTATTTTAGTATTTATTAATATGGTTTAAAATAAGTGGACCAGAAGTGGCTGTGTAAGTGGTTTTGGCATTGTAACATATATATTCTTATATATTTTTAGTTTCAAAATTGTGAAAATGTACAGATATTTAAAAAATGAAAAATAACAAACTACTCTTAAATGTTCCCAATATATCCTCTTTACAAAACAAAAGTTATTAATAAATAACTAAATAAACCATTGACATTTTAAAATCAAATGGCAATTTTCATTGATATTTCTTCTATATATGATACAGAGAGATCTGAGCGGATCACTGGGGAGGAGCTGGGAGGGGCCATAGAGCAGGTTGCCGAGGCAATGGTAAGCAGTTTTGGACTGGCCTGGATGACAAGGTGAATGCCTCCAGAGTACATGGAATTATGGGCCAGGAGATTTAAAATAAAAGGAGGGCAGAGATTGGCTCTAGGCTCTCTTCCTTGAGAATACCTGGATGATCATGCTGCAGCTGCCTGCATTTCCCCAAAAACCGTATTTTGGGTGCTAGAAGAAGCTCCTCGCACAGCCTGGGATCAGGCTGCCCTGGCAGGGGGTAACAGGGTTCTTTTTCTTTGCGTGTTCTAGAAGGGATGGGTCTGAGGTCTAAGCCTGTCATTATTCTAAAATTGTGTAGTGTTTTTATCTTATGTTGTTTTAGTTTGTGAACTAATCCTATAGAAATAAGATAATTAAAAACAGGGGGAATGATAGAAGAACTCAGGAGTTAATGGTTTTAGCCTTAATTGATTGACTTAAGTGATTAAAACTGTAACTAAACAGTTAAAGAGCTTAGCCTTAGTTGATAGGTATAAGTGACTAATGCAACTGGAAAGCTGTTATTCCAAAATCGTGTAGTCTTTGATACAGACTCCTTTCCTTTACCACCCAAACTTTGCCTGCAGAATTTTGCCTGGAGGGTGGCGGCGGGCAGCAAGGCCCCACTGGCTGCTTGGTAATATATACGTATACATTTTCAAACTCACTCAGTTACAACTGAATAAACTACATAGAACCTTTGTTCTGAAAACATACCAATGTGATGTTTTATATCACAGAATTTGAAATCCAAGTATATTATTCTATAAAATATATTGAATGTTTGCAAAACCAGAAGTCTCGTTTAGATTTCTTTTCCCCTCATATTTAGCAGGTTTCCCAGCAGTTATAGTGGCTGCTACGGCTGTAAAATCTATACTTAGACAAATGGAAAAGAATATTGTGATCACTTAACAATGACGGCATGATTGTGGTGGATTGAATTATTGTTGAGAAATATCCCTTCCTCTCACTTAGCTTCCATAGGAGGAATGTATTTCTATCTCTTGACTTTGGGATCTATCACATGACCTGCTTTGACCAATAGAGCAAGTTAAAATGGCAGCTCGCCACTGAGACTAGACCCGGAGAGTAGAGCGTTCATGTTGCTACTTGCTCTCTTCCATTTCTGCCACCACCAGGAGATGAACATGCTCAGCCTGGCTTGCTGCCTCCAAAAAGGACACAGGAGCCCAGATCAGGTGATCTCTAATAGACACACGAATGAACAAGCCCCGCTGAGATTAGCAGGGCTACCTAGCCCAGTTCAGGTGACCTCCAACAGACAGGTAAGTTAAATGAGTGCTCCATGTTTTCTAATAATAATGAATTTTGAATATTCTTAATGTACACCAATTGGTAAGCAAGAAAAAAAAATCTGTGGCAGTGTCTGGTATATTTGTCTTCAGAAGTCTTAGGATCTGTCTGGAGACCAACATTGTGCTAAAGCAAAATGCTTATAAGGAGAAATGTTGCTTAGGGAAATGATCCTAAAGTGCTAGAAGGTTCAGAGGATCGCTTCCTCCCCTATTCAATCGTCACTGAAAGACAAAAGGAGAACTGAATGTGTTAGATTTTCCAAAAGAGGTTAAACTTTCTTCATCCTAAAATGATGCTGAGTTAAAATATGGGAATTTAAAATGATAGATAATAAAAATAACTAACATTTAGTAAATGATTACTATGTCCCAGAAACTTTTTAGTGATTTACATGTATGTAATTTATTTTCTTCATAATAACTTTATTTGATAAGTAGTATACCAAAAGATGTAAAGATGAGGAAACCAAAGCACATACATTTTAAATAACTTATTCCAAGTCATCCAAATAGCAAGTGGGAGAAATGAGATTAAAATTTGGTTATCTGCCCTAGCTGGTGTGGCTCCATGGATTGCACACCGGCCTGCAAACCAAAGGGTTGCTGGTTCAATTCCCAGTGTAGGGTACATGCCTGGGTTGCAGGCCAGGTCCCCAGCAGCAGGGCAACCACACATTGATATTTCTCTCCCTCCCTTTCTCCCTTCCTTCCCCCCTCTAAAAATAAGTAAAATATTTAAAAAATTTTGGTTCTCTAACTTTAGAGCTTATATTCCTAAGTATGATGCTATACAATATTACAAAACACTATTTTAAGATTCCTTAAAGAATGACCCTCCAAGATGGGAATCTCAAGTATTTTTTTTTTCTTTAAAAGCAAGAGAAAGAAAATAGCTTCTATATTTGCAGTGTTTCTATTCTCTTCCTTTCCTTTGCTTATCACCACCCCCAACACACAAACATATTCTGGAACATCCTTGGATCTGCATGTGCCAGGAAAATCTGCAAAGACTGATACTCACATACAATTATTATCAATGCCATCTCTGTGAGCTCTATAGTTGTTGGGATTTCCTCAGGCAATGAATGATCAGACACTTGGATAACGAAAGGCTAAGATGAAAAAGTAGATGAGATGAATCAGAGTTGCATATAGCCATTTGTGCCTCAGCAACTCAGAAAGACGTGAGAAGAGAAGTTAAATTTCATCATAGTATTTATGTGAGAAAGGAAGGGTAGAAAATATCCAGGCATGAGGGAGTATGAAGTCTTCTCTTGCCTTGAGACTTTCCTAAGCACATGTGTTCACAATGTTTTCTCAATGGGAAAACTGTGGGGTGAATGGTGCTCAGTATGAGTTTGACCTGAATGGAGCCAGATTGTTTTTCTCTTCCCATCTGAAATATTGGAATCTTTGATTTTTAAAAAATGTCTTCACAGCTGAAATGCATTATGCAAATTTATTTTCTACTTAGTGAGGATGCTACCAAATAATCTGGACAGTTGTTAAAACATCTGGGTCTGCTTAGCAGCATGGATAAAGCCTGGCTTGTTGAATGCAATTTTTTCCCTTCCAGTTTACCCTTAATTAGTCCTTGCATGGTCTCTGTGAGGTAGGTCTGTATCAACTTTGTGATACGATGATCGAAGAAAGGCAGATGCAGAGATTCGGGGCACGCCTAGTACTCTTGAAGCTAAACTGAGTTTGGAAGTCCAGAACTTCCGACTCTATTTTGGACAGTTTTTCAGAGAATTAGGTTATAGTAAGGAAGAACTATTCTTTACTTAAGGCAGTTTTGTCTTTATTTTTTTTTAATCTGATTTGAATCTACATACAGAATTTTACCTGGATGCATTCCCTCATTTTCCAATTTGCAAAATTGCAGTTAAGCCCAGAGGCAAAAGCTTCAACAAGGCAATACTAGTGATCTTTCTGACCCGAGTGGAGACATGATTTGAGATTCCACATAGAGGCCAATTTTGTAAGAATTTCCCCTAGTCTGTCGACTGTAATAATTGGGTTATTTGGATGAGGTTTGGCACAGCATCGAGTAGATTAACCGAATGAGGTTTCTGGAACTTTGCCATTTTGGAGCTATCTATTTTGTTCTTTGTTCTACCTCATTATAAAATGGACTATTGAAATTGGTTGGTTTGTTGGTATGTCAGGGTTTTTTTTTCTTTCCTATTCTTTACATCTGAGCCCTTAATTTGGTTGAAAGTAAGCTCTTCAGTCTAAGTGGATAACAAAACATCCCTTTGAGGAGGAGGAGGAAATAGATGATAAAATCTGTATGTTACTAATTTTTTTTCAATAGTTCGGAGGAATTTCTTTCCCATCCTGTGTGTGTTTTTAAGACCCTATTAAGTTCATAGTTCCTTTTTCTTTTCTAGTTTGAATAGAAAATAATTCTCTTTAATCTCCCCCTGAGTTTTAAAAATGTATTACTGAACTGCCCAGTTCAGGAATTCAGTTGCCTGTTTTACTGAATGGGGATGTGTATGACCTGATAGTAAAAGAATGCTATTCAAAGACATTTCCGCCTGTTTGTTTCTTGGATCAGATACTGTTCACATAAAACTGGAAAGAAGCCAAAATATGTAAACAAATTAAGAGTTTTGAGGATCCCAGTGGGAATATCCATAAGTTCTACCATAAATCAGGAATTTAAGATAACTATAATATGCCATAATAAGATAGCAGGGAGAAGCAACTATAGACCAAATATTCTTGTCTCTGGTTTGGGAATCTTAGTGGATATTAAAAGATTTGGGTTAATTATGGGGTTATGCATAGCGCTACTTTTTATCAAACCTCTATGTGTTACCTAAATGGAATTTTGTTTTTATTCTACTAACTTTTAATTTTTGCTTAATATCAAATGGTCCTTCAACTCTGAAGCCACTGCTTAATATTATTATAGTACACTAAATATGTATGTAAATTATTTATTCTGATCTTTAATAACAAATTGACTCTCTTTGCATAATTATATAAATCTGTGATAGAGTTACGTAAATATATCAGTGTGGAGGACAACTGATAGAGGATTTTTTCCTCTAGAGCTTTTTTGATACACACTCTTCTCTTGTTGCAACTATCTCAGTGTATAAATTTAAAATTACGGTCTTTTTTTATTGCCTTTGACTCAAAGTTAAAACTTAAATATAAAATTTCCTCTTAAGAAAGACAACCCATAAGTTTAATTTCACCATTATGATATCTTCATTAATATCTTCTTGATTTTTTTGTGTGTAGAAAGAAAATGTAGAGAAA